AAAGATGTGATTTTTTATACAATGGATCATTACTCAGTCATAAAGAAGGATAAACAAGGTGTTTATAGGTAAACAGATGCAACTAGACTATACTCGTAAGTGAAATAAATTAGGCTTGCATGTATAAAAATCACATTGTCACCCTAGTATGAGAAACTGAAATAAATTTTATATATATATATATATATATATATATATATATGGTAGTTATATCACTAATTTTTCTTACTTCAATGAAAAGAAAGGTTTGTGTTAATATTGTTTGGACAATTAAATGCAGATGTCTTGTACTCTGAGTAGCTAATTTAAAGTTAACAATATGCCATGTATTAACTATTTTCACCATCTACCATGTTTTGAAATTTTGTTATTTTTTTCTTTAAAAAATTCAATATATGCAGGAAACAATTTTGGAATGATGTTTGCAATGGTGTATTTTTAAAGTATTGAATTAAAAATAATAAAAACTAAAGTAAATAGAATATTAAAAAAGAAGAAGAGCCTTTTCAAGAAGAGCCTATTCAAAAAAAAAATAAATGGTACTAGGACAATTGTATGAGTACATTCATCATAAACCCTTACTTCACATCATATACAAAAATTAAAAGACTTGTCTTAGGTACATTTCTCTTGTTGAGATAAAATATCTGACACCCAAAATGAAGCAAGGGAAGGTTTATTTTTTACAGTTTTGGAGGTTTTAGTCCTTACTCAGCTGGCTCCAAGGCAGGATGGCATGGCTGAGGGGCAGCCATTCATAGCCACTACAACTAGCAAGAGCAAACAGAGCAAAAGAGGGCAGAGCACATCTCCTTCCCACCTTTACACTGCATGCTAGTGCCACCCCTGGGCAGGTGCAGTACTCACAACACCAATTCCAATGCCAGACAATGAACCAATCATGAACACCAGACCCAGCTGCATCCATGACTGCATAAGACTTAACAGTGCATCTGAACATAAAAAGGCTCAAAAACTTAAATGCAGGAGCATAAACTATGAAACTTAAAAACACAGCCATAACTCTTCATGATCTTGGATACGATGATGTATTTGTCTTACATACAACATTCAAAGCAGCAGCAACAAAAGAAAAAGATGGACACATGAAAATTCATCAAAATTTTAAAGTTTCTTCTTCAAAGACAAGCCACTGAAGAGAAAAACTTCAATTACTGTATATCAAAAACAATAGACTAGTATCTAGAATACATAGACACAAAGAATTCATAAAACAATAAACAGTCAAAGCAAGGGTGGGTATTTTGAGGGTCTCAATGGCAATATGTCTTAAGCTTTTCTAATTCAAACATTCACCATATATTTTGATTGTATCTAGTACACACAAAGATGCTTTATGTTATCGGTCATCAGGGAAATACAAATAAAGTGATAATGGCACACAACTTCATACTCATTAGGATGGTTATCACAAAAAAAAGACCAATAACATAAGTTTTGGGAGAAAAACCTGGTCAGAGTATAAGAAAACCAGCTGCAAGTTTCCATGAGATGGAAGAAGAGGCAGACAGAGCCAAAACTAAACAGGTAACTATTTATTTGGAACTTATAGACAGAAGTGTTGTCAAGGGCAGTAACAAGACCAGTAAGTCCCCATGATCTGGGTAAAAGTGACTTCAACCAAGCTGGAATGTATTTGGTTTATCTCAAGATAGTATCAAACACACTAGGCATATTCCTGATACTGATGGTGTCAGGTGTTTAGAGCGTTTCAGACACCACTCTAATGATTTTGTTTATTTATAGTATGTCTGGAAACTATGAAGGAGAGGGTATCGTGGTGACTCAGGGACAATCATAGTAGTTATAATTCAAGACAGTTGTAGACAGGTCAATCTGGGTTCCTACAGTTGGCAAGATGTTGAGAAACAAAACTTCATATACTCTTTGTGGGAATGTAAAATGGGAAAATTGCTCTGGAAAATAAACAGCAGTTCCCTAAAAGCTAAGCACATAATAATCATATAATCTAGAAACCTTCCTCTTAGTCTCAGTCACCCTGAAATGCTCACATTTTCCAAATGAACACAGCCAAGAAGGATGACAATATAAACCCACATAAATATGTAAACAAGGGGCTGCGGATTTAGCTCAGTGGCATAAGCGCCTGCCTTGCAAGCAGGCAGTTGTGAGTTCAATCCCTGGTACCGATAAAAATGAAAAAAAATATGTAAACAAACATTAATAGCAGTTATTTGGCCATAAAAAGAATGAAGTCCTGATATATGCTACAGCATGGATGAGCACAGGACTCACTATGGTTAAAGAAACCAATCACAAAAGATCAAGGCAAATTTACGAAGACAGAAGGTAGCTTTGTGGCTTTCTAAGGCTGGGAACTGAGAAGTTGGGAAGATACTGACTAAAAGGTAGAGTATCTTTATCCTTTAAACATTCCAAAACTGATTGTGATGATGGCTGCAAACCACTGACTTACACACTTTAAACAGGCAAACTGTATAGTTTGAGAATTAGATTCCAAGAAAACTATTATGAAACAAAACAGACATTCCTCCTCCTTTATGAGGGCTTTGGTGTACTGATAAAACTGACCACTACATGTATGTGACTCCACTGTTCCCATATAGACCTAAATACCTACAACTGACAATCCTTTGCACTTATCTGTGACATGTCTATTTTCTTCTACTATACTGTGGGATCCTTAAGGCAGCCATTTGGTTCATTTTTCTTGGGATGCACAGTCTATACACTGTGTATACTACAAACATGACAGCATACAACATAATTACTTGTTAAGACTATCTGAAAAGTTGTCATGTGGAAAGGGGACTATGCTTAACATACCCCAGTAGGCAAAATGGAAGTGTAATAACATAAATTTTAAGGATTTTCAATGCGATTGGGGATTTAGCTCAGCAGCATAAGCGCCTGCCTGGCAAGCACAAGGTTGTCAGTTCAATCTCCAGTACCACAAATAATAATAATAATAATAATTTTCAATGGAGCTGTTACTTTCTTTAAAGCAGGGATTTCTGAATCTTGTAATTTCTCTAAATTGATATTCAGATTTTGAGTTATATGTATACATGGTATGGAATTTTTCTCGAGAGAAAATTTACAACTTTTATCAGAGTTTACATCACCACAAAATGGTTAGGATTCATGGCTTTTAAAAATGTCAGTGTGCTAAGGTAAGAATTTCAATTAGCAAACTTCGGTTATTGGACTAAACTATTCAAATTAGTTCCTTGCCTAATGTATACCATTTCAGGACTTGTAATAGTAAAAGAAAACTGACAATACTAGTAGCTTCATAATCTCAAATCTGTTCATTTATGCGTATTTGTTGACTGCCCGCTATATGCCAGATACTAGCAGTAAAACAGGGAAGACAAAGTCTCTGCTCTTGTGAAGCTTTCATTCTGGAAAGTGGAGACACACACACATGCACACACAGAAGTAAATAGCTAAGAAAAGTTTACTCCATTTATTACCCCCCCCCACACACACACACTTAGTAACAAAGAAAATAAACCATGAGAGAACCAGAACAATAGGGAAAAGTTATTTTAGTTGTGGTTGCAGGGAAAGTAAGGAGGTTAAATGTGAGCAGAAACTTGAAAGAGAAGGCGGCTAAGGGAAGAGCACTCCAAGAACAGAGAAAAGTGCCACTATCCTAAGTTGAGAACACTTACTACAGTACTAGCACTTGGGTTCTCAAGAGGAGCCATGTCTAATTTCCACTCTGTACCCTCTACAACTTTCACAAGATTCTCTCCCATTCCTATTCAATAGTACTACTTCATGATAATTCATCATAATGAGACTTCAAATCAGTTAAAAACAAAAAAAAAAACTTTTAGGGGAATCTTCACTGCTCAGGATCATCGTGAATTTACTCTTCTTCAAGGCAAATAATGTTATTAGATAGTGAGCAAAAATATTTTGGATTGTGCAATAAGAGACAGACAGAAAAAAGGAAATAAATCAAATATGAAAAGATATTTTAGAAGTCTCTTTCCATCTTACAAGCATAAAGTTAATCAAATTCTACTGAAGAAATCTCCTCCAAACAGTCCTACAGGAATAAGTTTTATCAATTCCAATCTGCCCACTACCACTAGAGCTTGATAGTTTGCATTTACAATATTTATAACCTAGGAGGCTCCAACTACAGCTAATATACACAAGAGAAAAAACAACTGCAGTTCAAATGGAGCTGTCCAGGAATCAACAGGTTGAACAGTTTGGAGACTAAAATCATGTCTCAAAGATGTTATGGGCATAATTTACAGTAAAAAGTGACCGGTAGAACTTTGTGGCCTATAGAGAATTGTCCCTTTTCCCTGCCTTCAGTAGCCATACTTTGACCATAATTCTGTTAACAAGCAACCCTGAATGCAGTGGAAAGGATGGACTTTTAAATACCACAATTACGTCAATTGCAAAAGATTCACAGATAAATATAAGCAGGGGGAATGTAGTGTTTTGTTCATCTTTACCTCAAGAACTGAAACTTAGGTTACTAAAGTCTTCAAGTAACATTTTGAAAGGTGCTCATGCATAAGCGCGCGCGCGCGCGCGCGCGCACACACACACACACACACACACACACCCTGAAGCAGTGAGTGCCCAACGACGAGCTCAAACTGCATAGCGAGTTAAGATAATACCAATTCCAGTTGAGTTTATTTCATACAAAACAGGACAAAAAAAAAAAAAAAAAAAGCCAGAAACTCTAAAAAGTTTTGACTCAGATGAACGGATAGGAACGAGACTGAGTGTTTTGAGGGAAAGTTGGAAGCAGCGGCTAGCAAGCGGGCTGCGAGACAGCCCACGCGTGAGCGCGTCCCTAGCAAATCCTGCGGGAGCCCGGCGGAGGGACACGCACGGCTGCGCTGGGTGGCCGCTCCGCCGCCGGGACCCGCGCAGACACCGCCTCGCCCGCCCCGTCCAGCGGCCTGGCGAAGGCCCGACCCCGCGGCAGCCCCGAGCCCCGGTCCCGGCCTCCTCACCTTCGGGCGCCGGCGGCGGCGGCGGCTGCTTCCCGCGGGACAGGAAGGCTTTCGGGAGCAGCAGCGACACAGCCAGGACGAGCCCCGAGGCCAGGGCCACCCGCTGCACGGTGGAGTACGCCATGGCTGCTCAGCACGGCGCCTCGCCGCAGGTGCCGGGCCCAACCCCAGAGCTCCCGGACCCGGAACCGGAACCGCGGCGCAGGCGCTCGCTCGCTCGCGACCCCACGAACCAGGTTGCGAGGACGGGGTCGCGCGAGGGACAAGGCGCGCTGCAATCCCGGCCGCTACCTGCGCGGCTGAGCGAAGATCTGCTCCGAGGGGCGACCCGGGTCGTGACTCGCGCTCCCCTTACAGACTCCTCCTCTGGCTCGCTCCCTCTCCCACCGAGTGCTGTGCATCCTGCCGCCCAAACACCTGTCAGTTACCCACCTTGGTTCCCGCTGTCCACCACCACTCACCGAAGGCGCTTAGCTTTATTCCCCCCCCCAAAGCTGAAAATAAAGAAATAAAATGTGTAGACTACAAGACTAAAGCGGAAAGTAGGAAACGTAACGGCAGATGAAAAATGTCAGATTTGTATTAAGATGCATAGCAACATCGTCCAATTGAGCACAATACCAACCACATTTGTAATATTTCGTAGCTATATTTTTAGAAGTAAAAATAATCACATGAAGTTGATTTAAATAATATCTTTATGTCAAACAATACATCCAAATATCACTGCAAAATCTGTTGCACCAAGTCAGTCAATGACTCAGTAGCCATTTGTAGTTTGTTGACTGCCATATTGAACAATACAAGTGTAGAGCATAAAAAGTTGGGTGACTACAAAAAGAAAGCCTATAAGAAGCAAACTTATGCATGCCTAAGAACCTATGAAGTCTTAGGAATTGGAGATATTAGTTTCCTTTAAACTCAGGGATGTAGAGTGGGGTTGAATAACGAAGGACTAGCTGAAAGTCAAGTTAAGAAGCAGGTGAGGTCCTTCAAATCTCTTTCCCAAGTTATCCCTATTGCCATTATTGGGCATGATTATCATTGATATCATCAGCATCACTAAGTTTCGGAGTACTTACTCTGATCCAGGCATTTTATGTATCATGCTTCAACTGATTTTCCCAACAACTTCATGAAGCAGTATTACATTCCCATTTTATGGAAGAGAAAAGTAAGGTTCAAAAAGCCTAAGAAATTTGCCATCAATTGCAAAGTAATTGGAAACCATTATTTGAACCCATGCTTACTCTAGAGCTTGCTCTCTTTGTCAGTTTTATTCTCTGGAGAGGATGAATCAAAGAAACTGTAGACTCATGGAAAACAAGTGCAGGTTAGGGAGGAGATGATTGATGGGAGATGACCTCTCATAAGTGCAAAGGAATCAGGTATGACTTCCAAATTGTTGGCCTGGGTGACAGAGTGGACTTTAATTCTATATAGCAGTATAGATGAGAAGATGGTGTATTCAGTTTTAGAGAATGAAGTTTCATGAAACATCCATATAGAAATATCCAGCTATATATATGCATCTGAAGTTCACAAGAGAGATTGGGGCTAGAAAAAGATGTGGAAGTCATCAACTCATACATGAAGTGTGGGAGAAGATGACATTAGTAAAAGTGCTTATGTAAAGTGGTAGAAGACCACAGTGGTAGTCTAGGTTCCAATATTATGTTGAAGTTCCCACATGTGAGGACAGGGACCTAATGAAAGTAAAGACAGTGATCTTGAATGAATGAAGAGTTACAGGGATGTTGTAAGGCGGTACAGATAAAATGAACAGTTAGTGACAATCTTCTAAAGAGTGGTGAGGGGGTTTTGGTTTGTTTTTGGGTTTTTTGGAGTTTGATTTTTACTTTTCGGTGAGGTGAGCAAGGAAGCAATTTGGAAGCATCAAAAGATGAATAAACTGTGCAACTATTCCACTCCAGGTCTTGAATCATGGGAGGAAAAAATAACTTTTACTTAGGGAAAACTGCAAAGGAAACAGAGCCTGAGGGAATAGCCTCGTGTTTGTTAGAATAATAATTAAGAAAAAACTTCTAAGAAGTAGATGATGTAAGATTTCTGGTGACATACATTGACTCCAGAAGGCAAAGTATAGTGGAAAGTTTGAGAAGTCAGAGAAGAGTAAAAGATGAAGTCAGAATAAAATATGTGCTGCAGTAGAGAGGCTTGACCTTGTGAAAATAGATGCCCTAAAATAGATGAACTTCAGATGATGGGCTAGGTAAGAAGGGCTAATGATCGTATTATTCCTGGAGGTGGCCTAGAAAAAAGATGAAAACATGGAATGTTTAGCTAGGACCTTATTCATTGTTGCAGCCAGGTGGAGTGTGAGGCTGGGAGAGACGGGGACATCCTTAGTGGACAGGGCTCTTGGACAGCCTGGGTGCTGGGCTTGGCTGCTCCCTTTGGTGACTCATGTTGTCCTGGATCCAGGAGTGTACAGTAATTCATAACCTCTCTAAAAACTCAGATTTAATCCTCCAAGTAAGGGCTTAGTTTTTCAAATAAAGTGCTAGAAAACCGAGATCAGAATTGTGACAGCTATAGGCTGAACAATGAGCAAATAACAAGGAAGTAGAGAGAGCAAGCACAAGCCACTTTGTGTAAATTTTGCATGAAAGAAGAAATGATTAAAGATATAGTGACAACTGGAGGGAGTCTAAGGGTTGAGGGAATATTGTTTTTTCCCTAAAGGAAGAGACAAATATGTTTATACCCTAAGAAGGAAAGCATCAAAAAAAAAAAAAAAGGATGGAAAATATATGACCAAGAGAGGCTGGTGTCAAAGTGAAGCCCAGATCCGGAGCAGACATGAGGGCAAGACATTAAAAATCCAGGGTCAGTTTAGAAGAAAGGAAACAGGAGTGAGTTTAGGTCCATATTTAAGAAATAGTGTAGAGATGGTAAATCAAGGAAGTTTTTTTTCTGACTGTTTCAGTCTTGTTGGAAAAGAATGTTTTCAGGCCATTGTTTGAGAAAGAGTGCAGCGGAAAAGGATTTCTTTTAGTATGGTACAGGTTTGGAAATGGGCAAAAGTTATTCAGAAATCACTCCAGCTTGGCAAAAGGCCTCTCTTTGGAGCATAAAGACAACAGGGATTACTCTTGCTTCCCCTGAAGACCAACAGCATTTTCCAGCCAGTACATTCAGGGAAGGAGCTGGCATCCCCCTAAGCATCCCTTAGACTGGAAGCCCCCCATTCTACAAGACTGAGAAGCGGGGATGTTAGAGGACCCTAAAGAGCATTATCTCAGCTCTCTTGTTACTAGACCAAACAAAAAACTGAGTTAATTACAAAGGAAGAGGGACTTGCTGTGGATCACCCTGATCATTAGTGGCTGTACCACAATTGAAATCTGTTCCTCCAATTTTTAAACCAGGATTCTCTCGACCGCCTTACATTTTTCCTGCATGTCTGCCATTTTTGGGGGGCAATAATGGAGAGACAGTCTTCAACACAGCACCTAGCCCTTTTATTTTCTGAGTTTAATAAATGTGTCTCTTGCTTGTAGCCTTGTCTGACAGCCTGCAAGGAAATGCCTTAGAACATTTATCTTTGTGAACTGGAAGATGTGCCCATGAATCAATCCTAATGTCAAAACTTCCTTAACATCAGGGCACTTGTTGAATTCTTGTAGGCTGAGAAGGGGGTTGAGGAGAATATAATTCTAGAGTATTTAATTATAAATAATTATGGACTAAATCTGGATTAAATTGACAGTTGTGTAAAGTCTCCCTGGAAGACAGGTACATCATGAGAGATTGAAGACAGAAGTGGGGGAACAGCGGAGACCTTTGTGTCACTGTGACAAAATGTCTGAGACAATAAATTTATAAAGAGAAAAGTTTTACTTTGACTCACGTTTCAGTTGCTTGTCTCTGTTGCCTTTAGGCTTGTGATGAAGAAACCTTTGCCACAACTCCAAAAGTCCCTTATCTCTGTACATCCCTTCTTATACATAGTTCTGGCCAACACCCTCACAAACAGGCTCCCAAACTCCAATATATACTGACTCTTTCTTTGACGGATTGCTGTGCATACTGCTTCTCATGAGTTTGTTGGAGATTTTCACCTAGATTCCATTCCATGAGGATAGGATAGCATCTTCTTCCTTGGCATATTGAGCACAAAACTGATTCACAATTAAAGCACAAGGTTCTCATTTCACAAACATATGCTAGTTCTGTAACTGCTTTAAGCAACAGGAATCAACATCTCTAGGAATCAATAGCGTTTCCTTGAGGGGTCCAAAGGACCTCATTTTTTTAAAAAAATAACTGATTTTGCCTACCATACGTGATGCTACATTATCTACTAAATTTGGCCCGTAAGTGATCATGATGGTCACTTTTATGGGTCAAGTTATCCAGGCTGTGGTGCCCAGATATACAATCATATATTATTCTGAATGTTTCTGTGATATTATTTCCAAATGAGTTAACATTTAAATCTAAAATTTTAGTAAAGCAGATTAAACTTCATAATAGGAGTGGCCCTTGTCCAATCAGTTGAGGGCCTGAATAGAGTAAAATACTAATTTTCCTGAGCAGAAAGAAATTCTTAACTTTTGATTTGTACTACTACATCATCAATTTTTTCTATGCTTTTAGCCTGCTGCAGAGTTTAGACTTGCCAGCATCTAATTATAGATAGATAGATAGATAGATAGATAGATAGATAGATAGATAGATGTAGATAGGTGAGTGTTTACACATCCACATCCAGTTGGTTCTGTTTCTCTGGAAAACCCCAACTACAGAGACTGTGGCAATTTCCAAAAATTTAATTTCTCCTGTGACTGGGGCTTTTCCATCTCAAAGGAGATTCAAGGAATCTTGATGCTAGCTCTAAAGTCAATTTTAAAGCAGATTCTATAAGGAATAGTGACAGCAGTATTGTATAGAGTCACAGACCTTAATACAGGCATGAGATTGGGAGTGCTTATCAGGCAAATGGGACCAAGAACCCAGAACATGAAGGACAGGATAGCAAGCCCTGTTTTTCCAAAGTCTAGAATGAAGAGGAAAAGGAAGGAATACAGGAAATAATGGTACTAAAGAAGATGTGTTCGACCTGCACTTTAAAAGATGGGTAGAATTTTGGTCTGGGATAGGGGGATGCA